GAGGTTGGGCTAGAGACGTGCTGAAGGCCCTTCCAGCTTGAATTATCCCATGAGCCAATCCTATGATCCAAAAAGTCATCATTTTGTCACCTCAGCACTGCTAGAAGGGGTTTTGGAGTTCCCCACAAAATCATACGTTCAAAATGTCCCTGAATTTTAAGGGTTGAAGACCTTGGGTGGCAGGAAAGGATAAACACTTGCCTAAGTATTTTACAGTATATTTGTTACTTCATCTTGTAAATAATTCAAATACTCCATGACTAAGGATACTGGAAAGTCATGTGAGCAAAAGTTGAGGAAATTACTGTTTTGGACAGCCTACTTGCAGAACAAAGCTAACGACAACCTTAACAGCATTGCTTTTACTAGGGAAAAAAAAGGGGGAAATTCTTGCTCAAAAATACCAGCTCTTTGTAGTTTTTGTATACATAGGAAAAGTAAAAATAATAAAGAGGCTTCATTTTATGTTTTCAATATCATTATACTACAGTCAGAGCTAGGTGAAAAAATTACAGCAAAGTCACTTTTGCTGACAGTCAAAAGGTTTCTGTGGAAATGTATGATAAGACAGTGGTTGGGGGAGATATTTACCTGGCTTCAAACAGCAGTAGCTGGGAAGCTCAGAGATTCCAAGTGTCTACAGATGGGATGGCCATTCCTGATAACTATTCTTAGAGCTGACATCAGGACATTTAGTCAGCTGGCAAACAAAATATATAGTACAATTATATTTGTAGTATAGTATCTGTATATCAAAATCAAGTATCACATCTGATTACCGGCAACTTGACATTAATAGTACTTTGAATAAGCAAGCACTCGCCCAAGGAAAATACCACTGACATAAGGGAAATTTGACTGCGCAAGCCCTGAGTAAGAAATTGATCCCATATGTTCCTGGGAATGCCCTTAAATGACGGTGTCCTTTTGTTAGTTCTGAAGTGCAGAGGAATTCTTGGGAATTCAGCAAGTAGAAGCTAGAGCCAGGGAATGAGTCATCTCTTAAGACATGTTGCTTATTGTACCTGGCTTTTCCTGGATTGCATTCAGTGTGTCGTCTATCAGATTCCCTGGTAAAATAGATGGTCTACCACGTTGTTAGTACTTTTTCAGTTTTAGGCAATGAAATTATGGGAAATTAAGTACAGTAATTCTGCTTAGCAAAGAACTATGTGAACAACTAGTATATTCTGCACTACTTTATATAATGAAAGCCCTTTGTTTTCCATACCTTACCAGCCTCAACTTAAAATCTAACGTGAAGTTTACTTTAACTCTGCCCTATAATGTGGTGTAACACAATGTTAAAGCCTCACAAGTAAAATTCTACCTCAAATTAGATTTTGTAATGAAATTAACCCTTTCAGAAATGTAGGCCTGTTGGTATTTTGTTAAAAAAAGCTAGCAAGAAGTTACTTCAAGCAATTCTTTGCATATCACCTCCCACTATTATATGCATGAGAAGTATCAGACCGCGTACGAGAAACAGAAGTGGTAGGATAGTAGCTAGAAGTGAAAAGGATAATAAGCTGATCTTAGGAAACTGAGGAAAAGGAAGCATTATAGGTATAGTGAGTTAAGTGTGTGTGGGCGTGTTTTTCTTTATAAATTCTTTTTAAAGCAAGGAGTTATTTTGTAGTGTTAAGATTGAGAAAATATGGTAAACCAATTTCAATTTCATATAGGTGAGAATTAAGAAAAATTCCACTGACTGTAGTCCTTATGTCTCCATAATGTTAGCTCAAACGACACCAGAATGAGTCTTTGTAGTTATGCTTGGAAAAGTCTGTGAGGGTTTTGTCTTTTTTTGAGATAGTTACGTATGATTTATTTGCAAGAAGCTGTATTTTTTTCGAGCTGTGAACTCCAGAAAATTTTCAGGCTACCAAGTTGGATCTGTTCCCAATTTCCTTATTAGTCACCACTAATAATGGTCCTGGAGGCTACGTTATGACCTAATGATACCGTTGTTGCCTTGAGCCGCCTGACGTAAGTGAAACAGGTTAGAGCTTAGTGAGTGATCCTCTCGTTGCTCTGTGCTAAAAAATCAACAGCTGCTCACACATCCTCAGCTTTTGACCCTATGGTGTTAAAAGGAGTAAAACCCAGTAACAGTTTATTTCCCTCATGGAGATCCATTAATCTATCAGAATATTCACAGATACAAAAGGGGGCCAATTTTAAGCTCTACACAAGTCTCAGAATCTAATTTTAAGGCTGAACAAATAGTTACAGTTCTGTGACTCATGGATCAAGCGAGCTACAAGCAGCAATCCTGTTTGCAGTTCTTATGTGGGAAAGGGTAAACATCCTTTACATACGATATTAAATGGGATGTTCTGATAATTTAGTGTAGTACATTTTGTACAGTTGCAATGGGAAACTCACCCAGAGGTCAGTTTGAGGCCACTCAAGGCTCCTGAAATGTGCTTAGCTCATTGCTATGACACATATACTGCTTCCCTGCATTGAAGTTACAGCTTTGATGGCAACATTCCTGTTTCACTCTTGTTTTCAGTTTATACACTCGGTGATTAAGCCCTATTTAATGAATGACTCAATAATGTAAACATAAGAATATTTAGGAGAAATAGCGCAGACTTTGTTTATTTTTAACATAAGCTTTTCCCCATGTTTAATGCATTTTCGGCTTTGGAGGATACCAGAAACAAAAGCACTCTGATGCTTAGGGCAGAGTTCCCAGACCTGCTTTCTCAATTGCAGTAAGGCTGAAATAAGCAGGTAGGAGAGTCACGACATTAGACAGATGCAAAGCAGTCCTCTTGGTTTTGTTTAAGGAGTTTTTCTTCGGCTTTTGTTCTATTTGGGCTGAGGCAGTTCAGTCTCATTTTTATAGGTTTTGGCAGGCTAGTAGGATGTACACTCATATGTGTCCTGCTCAAGTCTTGTGATTAGTTCAGGCTTCTGTTATGTTCTGTGGCCATTTAATGCTTTAGATCTTTGCTGCAATTCACCTCTCCATGCACACCTGCTGTTTCTATATTGGATGCTCCTTTTTTTATTTCCCTCCAAGTGTTTAGTTATTTCAAGCCCTGCATGAGGTTCTTCTGAATATTTTTACCTTTTGTAAGGCCTTTTTTAGCTCAATAATACTGGTCCTTTAGGCAACTCCATCATGTCAAAACTGATGTTTGAGCTGCAGGTTTATTTACAGGAATTTAAAAACCTTTCCCTCTGTTGAACGCACAGATTATGAACAACTGGAGGCAGTGTCTGTGCTCTCAGATCGAGTCCTTTACGGCCACCACTCCTGCTTAGAAGCAAGTTCCCTCTT